TGGTATAAGTCGGCAAACAAGCAGACCGATTACCTGATGGTAAGCAATCAGCGCCGCAAATGGACACCTGCAACAACAAAGGAGTTACGAGTGCGTTGCCGGCCTTTTGGAGATAAGGGTTGCGGATGTAAGGATCGGGAAGGGATAGAGGAAGGGACGGGATTGGGCCTCCGGTAACCTCACTCATACGGCGAAACACAACACTGTGGGTTGTTTCACGCCGGTATTCTGTGAGGCCGTGGTATCACACCGGTCGAGCCGACCCATTCGTGCCGAAGCTGGCTCTCCCACACTTAAAGTCCTTACCAATAGATTAAAAAATATTAATATATTCTCCTGCCTTCCTCATAAGGATTAAAACTCGTATTCGTAATATTACATTTATTAATACATCTTCATTCTAATTAAACACTAACTTGCACAATAAGGTAAGGTACTGTTTATACCCGACCGCACCTAGTGAAGGGTTGATGTCTATATCGTGTGTATATGTATGTATGTTTGTATGTTGTTTAATCTTGATGTGATTTCAGTTGATTGTGTTAATTTAATACGAGGGACAAGGCTGGGTTCGCGGAGATTATGACGTCCATTATAAAATGGTTTGGACTAAACTCGCTCTGTTATTTGTGTAAGGATTTTGCATAGAAATAATGTTCTTTGGTGTTTACACGTTACAATCCTAAACAAGTCTTAACAGAAGACTTAATGTACACATATAAATAAAATAATAAAAAAACAAAACAAAGTTTTGAAAACAAAGAAATAAAGCCATGAAAACCGTAAAAAATACAACATAAAAAACAATAATAAAAATACATTAAAACAAAAATAATTAAAATAGGTTATACATGATAAAACAGACTTATAATAATAAAACTTGCAAATCGGGTATATAAATGTCCAATCCGAATGTGTCGCCAACTCAGCGAAAGATGGGCACAATGAGCACCAAACACCGATTTCAATTAGCACCCCTGCAGTGACGCACGAAAACTTAATTTTATTATTGGAAAAAATCATTAACTATAAATAATATCTTGGGTATGGGGACGGGGACTGTAAGACTCTTACTTACTCTCTAGGCCGAGGCCGAGGTACCTTGGCGCGCTAGACCCGCAATCCCGGGTAAGCATCGGTCCTGTTAGTACCCATCTGTAGTGATTGGCCTTCTACTCTTTCTGTTTTTTTTCTTTTCTCTTTTAAAATAACATGTTTAGTATTTTCTCTTGTGTCGTAGGTGCGTTTACAAACATACAATTTCATATACACATGACACCCAGACCCAGTACTACAATTTGTGCATCACACAAAGAATTGTTCCGTGCGGGACTCGAAACCGCGACACGTTGCGCGGCAGCACGTCGCCCAGCCACCCTGCCAACCGTACAGTCAAAATGGTCTGAGACATGGGATAAAAATATAGGTCTAGAAAACATTCAAAACTTGCTTCATATACCAGTTTAATGCTTCGTATTAAACACAGCATAAAATAAACACATTATAGCAAAAAACAAATAAAGATCACTCTGTAATATTAATACTGGTTTTACAGTAAAATTATAACAATATTCATACAAAACACACACACGCACACACAAATGAAACACTATTCCTAGTTTAAATTTTGACAAGTTTCAGCTTGATGAGGGTAGGACGTTATGCCGGGAACATTCGCCTTGCGTCGCGGCGCGTCCGTAATTTTTCATTAAAATTGAAAATTTTAGAAAGGCAAACTGAAAGAGAATAATTTTTAAATTAAATTTTGATGTTTGTTTTCTTTGTTTTTTTGAAGTGTTTTATGGGAAGTTATTTTTAAATTGATTGCCAAAAAATACAAATAAACTTTTTTTTGGATGTTTTTTCTGATTAAAATATTTATGAAAGCAATGCTAAGCCAGCTTTAGAATCATTTATTTATTTAGCTTTATGCACAAAGTACGTAGCTGGGCCTAATACCTAAACACATTCTCGCTAGCCAACCTTTGGATGGTGCAGTGAGAATTTGGTCGGGGCAATAAAGTATCTACAAGAAAGAAAAAATAAAATGAAAGTAATTGGTTTAAATACGTAATAAAATTAATGTTAGTACTTACACAATCATTTACATAAATACGCATACCATACCTATAATTAGAATCATCATTTTCAGCCTGTGGCAATCTGGGTACAACCGGATTATAACCGGATATAAAAAAAGGAATTTTTTGTTTTTTGTGAGGGGAAAATCATCAAATGGCTTCTCCCGCCCAGGGTAAGACGGGAGGGGGTTATGAGTCTTACTGACTGGAAACCCCCACGTTCCTTCCTACTCCTGCTCTGGGCCGAGGTCGCGGTGCTTCATTACGCTTACTGCGCAACCCCGGCAAAGTAAATTGGTTTATCAGAATCACACTTTACATGCTGATTTTAGGTCGCTGAATTGGACAGAAATTACAAAAATGTAGGGGATATGTTGGCACAAGTAGGCTGGCTCAAGCACGGAGTGATACCACGGCCCAAAGAAAACCGGCGTGTAACAACGCTGTTTTGTATTTCGTCTTCTGATTAAGGTTACCGGTGGGCCAATCCTGTTCCTTTTCCCATCCCCTATCCCCAAATATCTCAACCCTCTAAGCAGTAACCCTCAAAAGGCCGATAATGCATTTGTAATTGAGTATAGTTTCCTAGGTAAAAAATAAGTAAATGCGACGTTTCAATACAATAATATATAGAGAAATAACTATAATTTTATTCGTTGATCGATCGATACACTAAATTTTAGATATTTTTAGCAAATTTTTAAAAATAAGTTAACGATTCGACGCTAAAAAATTCAGTTTTTCATACCAATTTCATAGAAAAGTATGCATTTTGACATTTGGATAAAAGTATTGAATTTGACTAGTTGGAAACTACCGTATTCCTCGATGTTGCAGGTGTCCATATGCGGCACCGATTGCTTACCTTCAGGCGAACCATCCGCTCTTTTGTCAACCGAAAAAACAAGTTCTAATTAATCTCAATATGTGTAATTTATTAAAAAAGCTGTCACTTTTTAAACTTATTCCTTTTAAATCTCACAGCTCCATATTTTGAAGGTAAAATTCCAATTGATTTTTCTTTTGTTGCCAATGTTTGTTTTATAAAGATAAGAATTCAAAGTTATCAATATATTTATGTAGGTTAAAAAGCAAGATACGCTTCTTGCAAAGATAACTTTATTTCGTTAGATTACGAAACTTAGTTTTCAATGCTGCATCTGTGGATATTGATAAGATTTTCGTTAGATTTCATACAAATCTTAAATCATACATTACCTACAGTAAAAATTTCGATGTTATAGGTTATGGACCTATGCAAAATTATTAATTACAGATTTTGTTTGTTTTCTTAATTTGACTAAGCACGATGTCATGAATTTATTTATTTGGTTCCAAATTATTTTTTATTTTAACATTCTCTGTAATGTCAATAGTTGGCAGTTGGTTATCCCACAAAAATGTGACAAAACATCCTAGGTATTATTCCTAATTACAGCAAACTAGATCTGACAGTGGATGTAACTAATAATTATGTACAGATGAACTTGCTGCTTAGTGCTTTAAATAAAGAACTAAAATTCAATTTAACCCTTACTTTGTAAAAAAACAATGTTGATTCCGTGCCATGCTATTTGAATGTTTTACGACCAACACCAAAATGTTTTACGAAAAAAAATTGCCCAAAATTTTAATACTTTACAATCAGCCACCCCATACTTATTACAACGGAGCCCTGAAAAAGTAACTTGCAAATATTTAAAAATACTAATAAAAAAAGTAAATAAGCCTACAGGCAATCTCTAAGAATCAACTGACAAAATAATATTTTATGTTTAAACTAGCTACTCTCACGCGGTTTCACCTGCTGCTCTTTTCCATTTGATTGTAGCGTGTTCCTTTATAGCCTATAGCACTCAGGAACATTGTAACTATCTATCAGTGAAAGAGTTTTGGCAATCCGACTAGCAGTTCCAAAGATTACCCCTTACATATAAACTTACAAATTTTACCTCTTTATAATATTAGTATAGATAACCATTCTGAGTATATGAATATTGTTGTACCAAAGAATGGCAGTGTGAAAATTTTGAATACGACTTTCCGCTTTGCGTTTATAGTCAAAATGGAATATCATTCACTTGCATAATATGAGCGAACCGGTTCCATAATTAATGCAAATAGTATTAATTTATACAAACCATTTTTGTCGAGTAACGTTGTGTTATAATCTGTGAGGTATGAGGATCGAGGTAACGTCAACTCAACTTGAGCGTTGAAGGTTTGTTATGGGATTTAGCGTACAAACCACCTGAAGGTAAGCAATCGGTGCCGCCCATGACCATTTCCAACATTTGAATTGTTTGCAATGTCATTAAGCATTTGAGGATTGCAAATTAGGAATGGGGAAATAATTAGGACCCGATAATCTCACCGACTTGGCGAAATACAACGTTAGCACTTTTTTACGCCGCTTTTCCGAGAGACCGTAGTAATACTCCGGTCAAATCGAATCGTCCAAAATCTCCAAATCCCAAAACCCCAAAAGGTCGGCAACGGACTTGTAACTCCTCTGTTGTTGCGGGTGTTCATGGGCGGCGCTGATTGCTTACCATCAGTTAATCTGTCTGTTCGTTTGCCGACTGATCACATAAAAAAAACACCAGAGGAATCACGAGTAACCTTACAAAAGGCGAGTCTTTAGGATCTCGGAGATTTAAGGATTTGGGAGGGTTTAGGATAAAAGAAGAATTGGGTCCCCAGAAACCTCGGTCAAAAGAGCACTCGGCAAAACAGAGCGCTGTAGTTATTTCACGACATTTTTCTATGAGGCCGTGGTATCACTCCGGCCCAGTCAGCCGAAGCTTGGCTCTCCCATACTTAAATAAATAATTCCACTTAAAAACAAACTCTAAACCACAAAACAGTCGAAGACTTTTGTATGAAACCACGCTATCTGCCTTCAACAAGATGTACAAAATATTTCGTATACGCATAATCTCCATTATCAATGATAAATCTCAATGACCTGTCAGTATGTTCAAATGATTCAGTAGTCTATCGCGCCCCGTCAGTATTCGTTAGTAAAAATGTTGCAAAACTGGCTGCTTCTGTTACTTGCTGTGACTTCAGTGCTGTGCTTCCCAAATTGGTATGAAACCAAGAAATTCAAGGTCGGAATTGAATATGAAAGTGAGTAGATACATATTGTATTTATTTTATAAACTTCTTCCATTTTAATAGTATCAAGAAACATATTAAAGTAACAGCTGAATATAATGACATAAACACGTAAATTAAATGACACAAGTTCGACCAGTTTCAAGTCTCAACGAGACTCTTATTCATGAGCAACGTGCGCGTCGCGGCACCGCGCACGCCTAATGCGTTAGGCCTTCTATCAGTTAATTTACGTGAGTAGTTTATTTTCAATGAACGTGTATAGTGTGCTAAATAAGGATACATGAATCTAGTGTCATTATTTCATTTATTTATTTTCATTATTGATCTTTTAATTGGCATTGCTAAATTATAGGAACACGTGGTTTTCAATGCGAAAGTATAGATACACTTAGTAGACGCATTTAGAATGTGTTTCATTAATGTTTACGAGTTCCAAATTATAATGGACAAGCCTTTTTTTGTCAGGGGAAAATCATCAATTAACTTCTCCCGCCCAGGGTTAGGCGAGAGAGAGTATCGGACTCTTACTGACTAAAAACGCCCCGTTCCTTCTCCTGCTCTGGGCCGAGGTCGCGGTGCCTCATTGCGCTTACTCCGCAGCCCCGGCTGAACATCAGCCCTATTGGGCCCCGTCTGTGGTGGTTTATTGGCTCGGGTACGCTCGGGTCCGGTTCTGGTCGGGCGGCGAGTTACCCATACTCGCCGACCGCAACGCCTACCATTAGGTGATCCAAAGTCTCGTTTGTCCATCACTCCTTTGAAATCATGAAAGCCAAACAAGATCCATAATTAATTTATACCATTTTTCCTCAGATTCCCTTCCAATGAAAGGTGGTTCAGACAGATATCGGCACAGGAACAACTATGACCCATTCTTCGTCACCATAACCGCCCAATCCAAGGTCAGTATCGAAGGTTATTGTCATCCTATCTTAGATCTAGACACAGTGTTTATTTTTTGCGAAATGCGAAGTTGTTGTGGATGACCATATATGTGTAGGTATCTTACCGTACATTTTACTCACTTATATACATTCATATAGGTAATAATATTTTTCTATAGCTGTGTTGATAATTTCATATGACTCCTGTGATTCCTGTAAACTACACTTTGTGTGATCCACAAAATGTTGTTCCGGATCTGGGTGTCATGTGTGTGTATGTGAAATTGTATGTTTGTAACCGCACCCAGGACGCAGGAGAAAATCCAAGTGTGGGTCAACGTTTTTTAAAAAAAGAAAACGAAATAGTAATACAATATTATTAATAACATATATTATTTTGTTCTTGTATATACTCGTAATCTATTCTTCCCATATTTAATTATATTATTTATGTATTATTTATATGTTTTATGTGTATTTGTAGGTTATATTTATTGTATTCATATATTATATTTTTGTATTATATGTATATGTCGCCTTATATGTCTATGCTTTTTAATCATTTGTGTGCTTGTTTAGAACCTATTGTTAACACTTCTCTGCATCACCCGTGAGGTTGACTGGTAGAGAATGCCTTCGGGCATTAAGTCCGCCTTTGTATGTATTTTTTTTTATATGTACATAAAGTGTTAAATAAATAAATAAATAAATAACAATATTTATTACGAAGTTGACTGCACGATCACGTAACAATTTTGTCTCTAGTGTGCTGGGTACACTCACAAACATACAATTTCACATACACATCCCACTTTGACGCAAAACGATAATAAGTGGATCACTCAAAGAGTTGTTCCGAGCGGGAATCAGAACCCGCGACACGGTTGGTTGCCCAGACAACGCGTCACCCAAGCATTCGTCGTGTTTAAAAATAGAATTAGGAAAATATATTTTAGATTATCAAAATAATTTACAGTATTATCATATTTCATGACATATAAGTACAAATCAGTATGTCATCATTGAAACCAACCAAATGTGAATCAAAAACGATCAATCTCTTACTATACCAAATGCTCTTAGCTAATCATTTATTTATTTATTTATTTAAAAGGTTTAAAAACAGCTTCTGTGTAGATAACACTTAAAGTACATTTTCTTACATTATTAGGACTTACACAGTTGCCAATTTTAGGTTAACCAACATTTACAAAACAATGATAGGATAAGTACATACCAGCAGAACTAGAATGAGTAACAAGTATCCAATATTAGAGAACTGTACCAAGCTATGCAAACAATGAAACAAATAAGTACCTATTGGATCATGATCATTATTGGACCTCCTCTATGTACCTATTAATGAAGTGTTTGCCATAATCTTGTAGCGACATCTACCGCACAACCGGAGCAACAGCACCAATAAGAAATAATAAATAATCAATCACAATCATATTTCTACATTGTGGTATAACAGTTCGCAAGGAAATTGCCAAGGGCCCCATATCACATCTCTGGCAGGACGGTTGAGTTCTGCAGCATTTGCTGTCTGGAAGATCCGACAGCTAACAGATGTGGACACTGCAAGACTGGTGTACTTCAGCTACTTTCATAGCATTATGTCGTATGGCATCTTGTTGTGGGGACAGGCTGCTGACATTGAGTCTATATTTGTCTTGCAAAAGCGTGCAATCAGAGCAATTTACAACCTAAGGCTTCGCGAATCTCTTAGAGATAAATTTAAAGAGATCAATATTATGACTGTGCCCGGTCAGTTTATTTATGAAAATATAATGTATGTTAGGAAACACTTAATATTATTTGATAAGGTATCAGACAGACATAATTACCAAACTAGACATAGAGATAGATTGTGTCAGCCATTATTTAGATTGGCAAAGGTACACAAGTCGTTCATGGGATTCAGCGTTAGGTGTTATAACAAAATCCCAGGCGAAATACAACAATTAAATGAAAGAAATTTTAAATTGATTATATTGAGGATAAGGATGCTTGGAGACGGGCTGGTCCTGCTCCACAGGATAATATACCTACACGAATATAAATAATGTTCCAGTGGATCTTTGCTTGAACGGAAGTTCTTAGATTTTGTAAATTTGTAACCATGCTATTTTTATTGTTAAACTTGATAAATTTGTAAATGTGAGTGCCCTGTAACCTATTAAAATTAGTTAGACTAGCAGAATGTCGGTCCATATGTCAGCTTGGAGTTGTCATGCTCACTCAAAGGTCACATTGGCGGTGGCACGGTCACTGGATCGCTCGATTCCCTATATTATGGTTGAGTTGGGCGATGCTGGTGTACGTGTCATGCTCGTGAACGGGCGCCGTCAATTGGGACTGGTCAGCTCCGGACTGTCTATTGTCCTTAAGGTTATTTTCTTTTTATGTTTCTCTGTATACACGCGTTACACTGTTCTCACATATTCAAACTAACTAAATAATGTATCAAAGAATGTTTATGTGACACTGATTTTAAAAGAGTAACCATGGAGTTTCTTGCTCGTTCTTCTCCATCGGAATCTACACTTTGGAACGAGCGAATAGCTTCACTAAGAGGACTGACCGACAGACTGACACTTTGTATCTTTAAAGTTGTGTTGACGTTCAAAAGTGCCTGTATGGGTCTAATTGAAATAAATAATTTTGACTTTTGACTTTTTTTTGAAATTAGAACTGATACAAAATCCCGACAATATCTGTCGGGCAGCAGCCCCCAAGACATAGGTAACACCTTCAATTCCACCCTGTTCTCTCATACCTCCAAAATCCAAACACTTTTTTTTTAAATAAAACGTTGCCCCACACTAGGATTTTCTCCTGTGTCGTAGGTGCGTTTACAAACATACAAGTTCACATACACATCACACCCAGACCTGGAACAACAATATGTAGATCACACAAAGAGATGATGCACTGCGCCGACCGTGCAGTCAAAAAGAAAAACACTTGGCCGTCTAAAAGGGTTAGGTTAATCAGCAGCTTCCCATTCTGCCAAATACATTACTAAAACAATCCATAAATTCCACAGAAGGGTTTCGTGATCACATACCTTCAAGTCACAGCAACAATTGACTCCGGAGGGCAAGTAGACTTCAAAGTGGTTCAAGGTCAAACTGGATCCAGAACCATGATCTTCCAGCTGGTCTCCAATCATACAGACTTCCTCTCCTACTCCTATTTGTCTTACGGGATAAGAGAAGAAGAGTATAAAAAGGTGATGTTAGCCTCGCTAAATTTTAATTAGGTTAGTAATCAAAAAGTAGTGCAATTTTATTGTGTTTTATTTCACCCAGAATGTGATGTGGACTAATGAGGCGACGAATCTCATGGTAACAAGTTTATGCAAGCTATACTCAAACTGTGCTAAGCGGAACCCCAAAGCTCTGCAAAACATTTGTAGGGGCTCCAAGAAATGACTCGACTTTCTTCTAACGAACCTTTTTATATCAACCCCTACGGATTCTTATTGTTTGATGAACAATGAGAATTAGTTCGTAGGTTTCATCCGATTAGGCTTGTTTCTTTTGTTACTGATAACGAAATACACTTTGGGGTTTTATGTAAAAAACGATTTTATAACTGTTTTTAGAATAACCCACAATACAAGAGACACTACAAAATGTTTGAGGATCACTGGTCGATTCAAATAGGAAAATTAATTTTGATTTTGTTTTACAATGAAATTGAATTACTTATATTGTTCTGTATTAATCGTGTATTTAAAAAAAGTTATTAAAAAGTTTAAAAACAACGCCATCTATTAGTATAAGCATAAATTAAATGAATCGTTTCAGAATGAATTGCTGTTCTAACGTCAGTGTTTAAGTATAGATGGCACTGAAGTCAAATAAACAATTTTAAAATTTAATTTCAGATGGCGAATATCATCACTCTTCCACGACCAACGAATAAAGGATTAATGCTACAAAATACTGGATTTAGTATAGTAACATTATTGTCGTTAATTATGTGCTTGTTATAATATTAGGATAGATAATGATAAGAATTCGAATATTTTTTTCGTGGTATTATTTAGCGTAATATTTTTTTAGTTATAACAACTCTTGCACTATTTTTTTTAATACAAACCCTACCTTTTCATTCATGCTACAACCTGTATGCCTACATGAGAACAAAAAACTATGCAAAGGGATATTAAGTTTATTTAAGAACTTATTTAGTATGATAATTAATATAATAATGACAAGTATTAATAATTAATGTATTCGTTTATAGATACTCGTAATTAATTTATACTTAGATATTAAGAAAGCAATATCCTGAATAAATGTTTTATCAAAATATCATCATTTTGTTAACCATACAATTTCTTTTTCCAATTTGCCTGCTCCTTTGTATTTATTTTTTTCTGAATTCTATGCCTCTACATGATTATCAGAAATAAGGTACTTTTATTGTACTTAGCGCCATCTATACTGTTCTGTGCACAATTAAATTAATTCTATAGTACTACAACTGAAATAGAGATGGCGGCATCAGTTGCTTATTCACTACCTAAATTGTAAAAATTTAACCTCTAACAATATTTTGAAAACATTACATATCAGAATTAATACATAAATAAATAACATAATCATATTTAAACTAATATACTGCACTATAATTATTTTATTAAAACTTCTGAAAGCACTGCCATCTATAATTCATAAACGTCAACTACTTTAATCTCACACTAAGTAAAGTTTTTGTTTGCTTGTGTCACTACAGATGGCGTTAGTAGTTAATTTTGAGTCATGATCAATACGATTCATCTTTTTTACAAAGAGGTAGGGCCGTGGGTAGAGCAAAGGTACCTTAGTCGAAGGCAACAAAAAAAACAGTTATTTTAGGTATTCAAATAAAACATGGGAAATTAAATTAAACTAGTATTTAATTGTTTGTTTCTAAGCCTTACTACAAATGTAAAATCTTATTAATATTGTTAATAACACTCATATATTGGGATAGAGCATCGTCGGTGTAGTTCCCGCATTTGTCAACACTCACACACTCGCCAGCCGAGTTGCGCAGGAGTCCCGGTGCGCAGACGCAGCCGCCCTTGCAGATTTTAGTGCAAATCGGCTCTGGATCATCGCAAGATGCCTCACAAGCGGCGTTGCACAGATCATACACTTCATTTTGGTTCAGACATTGTTCTGTAAGTTAAGAATGTACTTAGATATTTTTATTAGACTTCTTGCACAAGAAACAATATTTGAATAGTTACTAAACTAAAAAATAGAATATTTCTATGAATCTTTCATGAAAATTGGTTTATTAGTTTCCAACTGAAGAAAATCGTTGCAAATAACAACTTGATCACGTGAATTCACTGAGAAAAGCTACACTAGTTTCAAGTCAATACGGAACGTTAATGCATGAGCGAGTCGAGGTCGCGCAACCATCGTGTACTTAGATAATTATTATTCAAAAACCAAGGAAAATCGGTTCGCCGAGGAGAAACTCAAGACTTCATACTATCAGGAAAAGCGTTCTTCCTATCGCTTTTTTCTTAAAACTGACAAAATATTCAATTTAATAAACTCAATGAACACTCTTGGTACTTATATTATAAATGTAGGTAAAAATGGGGATGTTTTATTACGCTTTCACTCTAAAACTACTTGAATAAGAATCATGAAACTTTGCAGAGTATGTAACTCTCAAAGGCGCCAGAAGTATCGCAGGTTACTTTTTGTCAACGAAAAATGATTTCGATGCTAGAAAAGTAAAACTATTCTAAATCTAAACTTCTAAACTAATATTATAAATTTCTTCCGCCTAAGCTACTGAGCCGATTTCTGTGACATTTGGTATAGACATAGTTTAGAACTTCAGAAAGGACATAGGATAGTTTTTATACTAAAAATCAGCAGGAAGTCACTATTCCACGCAAACGGAGTCGCGAGCAAAAGCTAGTATTACATAGAATAGAACCACCAAAATACTCACCAACTGGACATTGGTCGAGCGTCACGCATTTATCGTTGACAGTATCCCGCACATATCCTGATTTACAGAAGCATCCCATCCCGCAAGCAATCCCGCAGACTAGCGGCTCTGGCTGCTTGCATGTGAGAGGGCACACTGTTCCACAGGATAGGAACTCTTCGTTGGGCCCGCACATTTCATCCTTGCCTGGAAAATGTAGGATAGAATTTGAAAAATACTTCAATAGACAACATGAATTCTAAATTTATTTGATTCCTTTGATTTCTTAATTCTCAGTAAAGTGTGGGAGAGCCATGCTTCGGCACGAATGGGTCGGCTCGACCGGAGTGATACCACGGCCTCACAGAAAACCGGCGTGAAATAACCACTGCGTTGTGTTTCGCCGTGTGAGTGAGGTTACCGGAGGCCTAATCCTTCCCCTCCCCCAATCCCTCCTCAATCCCTAAATTTCCAAATCCCTAATCCCTAAAAGGTCGGCAACGCACTCGTAACTCCTCCGTTGCGAGTGTCCATGGGCGGCGCTGATTGCTTACCATCAGGTAATCCGTATGCTCGTTTGCCGATCTATTACATAAAAAAAAATATGATAATTATCAGTAAATTATGAAATCAAGAAGTGACCTTCTTCGAAATGAAGCCTAGGTTCTACATCCATAGTGTTCAAACCTCAAATTACCAAAAGGCAAATCTTGGTACTTTTTTCTGTTGATAGTATGATTTGTGCTACAGTTAATCTATCTTATCCTAGACCATAAAAAGCTAGATACTTACAATCTTCTTCCTCAGAAGTCATGCTATACTTGTCTATATGACCAAAACGATTGATAAATTATCTTAAACTTATATTATATTTAGGAAATAATATAATTGTTTATATGAATAGAGTAAGCTCCGAAACTACTTGACCAATTTGAAACTACACAATCTCCAGTGAACAACACCACATACCTAGCATAAAATAAAGTCGTTTTCTATGTCCCTGTATCAATGGACTGTGATAAGGTTTTTTTTAAATAGTTAGAATATAATAACACCAATTAAATAGTAAAGTATTGCATACGTGCTGTTGTGATACGGCCCCGGATAATTAATTGTCTTTATAAAAAAGTCAATTAAAAAAAACAGATTTTTAAAAATTATACATTTTATATCCACGTAAAATGGAAATCTTTTGGCATCCGTTTATAACTGAGGTCGGGAATGGATTGGCGCGAGCGTCGCTTGGTCACGTTAAATAGACTATCGATATGGTTAGGTCATCTATAAAGGTGCTAAGCTAGCCTTAAAGGTCTAACATAGCCGGGGTATAACAGCAGAGCAGGAGAAGGAACAGGGGGGTTTTTAGTCAGTAAGAGTCTGACACTCCCTCCCGCCCGACCCTGGGCAGGAGAAGTCATTTGATGATTTTCCCCTCACAAAAAAAAGACCGGACATTAAAAAAAAATACATGATAAATAAACTCACCAACACACTGGTCCATCGTAACACAGGTCCCGTTGTCATTCCTCAGATATCCAGACTTGCAGAAACAACCCTCAGCACAAGCGTCAGTGCAGAGGACTGGCCCCTGAGGGTTCGAGCAGTTGAAGGGGCACGCTGAACCGCAGAGCAGGTACTCTTCATTCGGAGGACATTCTTCTGTGAACAGACAAAAAGATAAAATAAATACTTATTTGTTGTTTGAAATGTTTGAGGTAAATAAAACCAATTAAAACTATTATTAGACTATTTGATACAACGATATGATGACGTTACAAATTAGTATCTCACCAGTAATTCAAAGTAAGTAAAGTATCTTTTTAAACATGTTGTTACAATATTGAAATATACTAGTTATTGTATTATCTAAATATTTGTCTTGTTGCACCCTTTTATTTGTGACACATCTCAGCGGAATTTACATCAGATAGGTAGTATATAAACTTGAAGAGACATAAGTAATCATAATTAGAATGATTACAACATTTTTTCACAGCCGAATTTGTTTTTGTTCCATAAGAACAAATAGACACTAAGTAAGTACCTACTTACAACTGCTTTACGTAGCCAAATACATATATATTTTTCAAATTCTAATTCAAATCCAAAAATATTTATTTGATAAACTCTTTCCATTGTAAATGAGTTTCAAAATTATATTCTATAGCTTCTCCTCCTCTGCCCCCAATTTAGGCGTACAAAATTGTTATTTTTTTTTATTTAACTGTAAACACTGTTATAATTTCCTAACAACAACGTTAATTCTGGCGAGGACCAGCACAGCTTTACTTTTCCATTGACAACTAAAGAATAAAGCAGTAAAAATAAATACAACTCAAAAATCACTTTTCCAGTCCCAAATAAGGTTCAAATCAAACTAAAAATCGACAGAAATCATTAGCCGAATAACCATTGATCATTTAAAACAAGCTCACTCGAGCGAGAGATCCTCAAAAAATAACTCGGAAATCGTTCACAGAGCGATTCTCAATTGCTTCCACATAAAAAGTCGGATGGTATATTAATTGGTTTCATTACACACTTGACTTGCTAATTACCTTTCAGTGGCGTTTCTTTATACCTACCTTATATTGATTGGAAATGTTAAATTGTAATTACATTACTGCTATGATTTCGTAAAGTTACTTTTGAGACTCCTTTGGGACACACAATTTTTTTTTTATGTTATAGGTCGGCAAACGAACAGATGGATTACCTAATGGTAAGTAATCAGCGCCGCCCATGGACACCCGCAACGGAGGAGTTACGAGTGCGTTGCCGACCTTTTAGGGATTAGGGATTTGGAGATTTAGGGATTGAGGTGGAATTGGGGGAGGGGAAGGATTGGGCCTCCGGTAACCACACTCACACGACGAAACATAACGCTGTGGTTGTTTCACGCCGGTTTTCTGTGAGGCCGTGGTATCACTCCGGTCGAGCCGACCCATTCGTGCCTAAGCATGGCTCTCCCACACTTAAATACACACAATATAAAACCATATTTTTTTATTTGAACAATCAGTAGTTGTCGCATTGATTAGACTAGCAGAATGTCGGCCCTTATGTCAGCTTGTCAGTTGGGACAGGTCAGCTCCGGACTATTCTCCGATCTTGTCCTTAAGGTTATTTTCTTTTTATACTATATATCTCTGAATAAATATAAGTGTTACACTGTTCTCACGTAATTGAACTAACTGCTTGTATAAAAAAATCTGTGAATGTAAAACTGATTTAGAAAGAGTAACCATGGAGGCTTTTCTCCATCGGAATACACACTGGAACGAGCAAATAGCTTCACTGAGAGGACCGACCGAGAGACTGACACTTTATATCTTTAAAATTTTGTTTAACGTTCAAAAGTAAGCCTGTAAGGGTCTAATTGGAATAATTGATTCTTGACTTATTACTTTAAAAAATTGTGGGTGTATCAAAGCGTAGAAGAAGCCCTGTATGGCCGATGTTTAGCTGGGGATGAGGGACAAGCGTAATAAGGTACCGCGGCCTCGCCTAGAGCAGGAGAAAGAATGATTTTTAATCTCTTTTCTGCCGGTAGGTATGTGACAATCAATAGAAAACACAGCGTCTCTTGCGTGGATTCGCGCTCCGGCATACCACGGGTTAATCAGTTAGAGTTTAACACGCCTCTCGCCTTACCCTAGGTGAGAGAAGTGTTGATGAGTTTCCCCTCACATAGAAATTAATAAAACCAGAGCATAATAAGGGTAATAATGTCCTGCGGCCCCGGACAGGAGCAGAAGAAGGAGCGCAGATGGTTTTTAATTAGTAAGAGTTTGACACTCCCTGAAGTCGTTTGGTGATTTTCCCCCCTTAAAAATGATTCCTGCATGGTAGTTAACTACCCTTTATTTATTATTCTACATAACACGTTGTTTTTGACATTTTAAATTCAATATGGTCATGAAAACATTTCTGTAACGTAAACAAAATGATTCAAAAAAGAAAATCTTTAAAAAATTAAAAAAATGTCTTTCTAAATACATAATTAATTTGAAAATTGGTATTGTAATATGTTGACTGACAATAGCTAAGAGCTAGTTATAATTATTGTGAAACGATAGTGGTGTCGATATGGCATTTTTGGTCTTGGTTCTATGTACATTTAAAGAATATTTTGTGATTTAAAATGAAATTATCAGTTATAGTACTAATATTTATTTTAGACGTCGCTTTAAGTATAACGTTACGTAAGTATTTTTTTCCAGTTATTATTGTTTTTCTCTTTCTTCAATTGCTTTCGAACAACCATCAACGTGTGATGACAGTGTGGGAGAGCCAAGCTTCGGCACGAATGGGTCGGCTCGACCGAAGTAGGTAATAACACGGCCTCACAGAAACCGGCGTGAAACAACCACAGCGTTGTGTTTCGTCGTGTTTTTGAGGTTACCGAAGGCCCGATCCCTCCCTGTCTCCTCATCTCTTCCTAATGCTTAAATATCCGAAACCCTTATCCCCAAAAGGCAGGCAAAGCACTCGATCGTAACTCCTTTGGTGTGGCATGGACGGACCGATTGCTAAGATGCTCTCATAAATACATAAAAAACTATAACATCACTACATCTCGTTTTTAATTTACCGCAATATTCAATCAAGAAATCCGTTATGACTATACAATGTCCCATTAATTTCTTTTGACGTAATAGCTTTCTATGGCGACAATGGATTTTAAAATAAAAGCCTATGACTTTATCAGTCCGGAATGGATTTTTTAATAATATTACTAACTGTTTACATTTAGGTGTGTATCGAAAGAAACGGGAAATGAATTATTTTATGTCCAATCCAAGGTTTGATACCTAGATGGATTTCCGATGTGATTACTTTTTTTTGCTATAGAAGCTCAAAAAACAAATATATCAGGTTTTGTTCTGCCTGTTATGACGACTTAGCATTCACCCGTGGTATGCGCGCGCCGGAACGCAGATCTACGCGAGACACAATGCATTTTCTATTGTGTTTTATATACCGGCAGACAAGTGCTTAACTGACTTACTCCGAAGTAGAATAAAGTATTATTCTTTATCGAAACAAATATTATAAATACGAAAGTAACTCTGTCTGTCTGTCTTTTCTTCAAACCTAAACTACTGAACCGATTTCTGTCAAATTTGGTACAGACATAGTTTGGAACTCGAGAACGGACTTTAGACTTAGTTTTTATTCGAAAAATTGCCGGAAGTCACTATTCCACGCGAACGGAGTAGCGGGCAAAAGCTAGCATAAAATAAAATGACTGAAATAGAACAAAAGTTCCAATTTCAAATACAACCTTTTCTTCGTGTACTACAAATTTGATTAATGTTTTAAAGATTTTTCTTATGCTTTCAGGTAAGGAATGTCCTCCTGGCGAGGTGCACAAGTCCTGTGCTCTCATGCAAGAGTACACTTGCTGGTTGCGCAAAGATCGGATGCAGAGAGTCAAGTCTTTAGCGAAACGGCTGACACACTGCAAAGCTGGCTGTTTTTGCAAGTATGGGACCTAGATCTACGCGTTTTAAACGTTATTAATATGTTTCCAACTGGTTCAACAAATTAATTTTCTTTTGGTTCTTTTTTATTAACGTCCCAAGTGCTAGCCCAGTCTTAAAATGCTTACCCACGTGCCTAATTTTGTTATGTGTTATAGGACAGCCATTGCTTACCATCAGGTAATCTGTTATGACATACAAAAAAGAGCCTGACGCTCTCTCGCCTTCACCAAGGCCGAAGAAGACATTTGATGATATTGACACAAAAGAAATATTATTTCACACAGGAATTCTTATTATTCTTAAAGGTCGCCAGCGGATCGTAGCTCTCCTACACTTAAATGTTAAAATAATACCCCTTCTCATTCCATTTTCAGGAAGGGTTTAGTCAGAGAATATCCTGGTGGTTCCTGCATTGCAGGCGCTGGTTGTCGAGACCGTAATCTACTAGCTGTGCTTATGAGCATACCCACAGGATCCCCGTTCGGTTTCAAAGCAAATTGTTAAGTAATTTTTTGTTGAAATTAAATAAATTTATGTTTGTCGTCTGTTTTGTTTTTAATTGTTTTGACTTGTTAACCCCTTTTTATGATGTGCTTATTTGTAGTGATAGGGTCTTTTGCGTCTATTAAGGGTTTGTAAAGAAGGACATATTATCAGCCGCTCCTACAGATCCTAGCGTGATGTTTAATAGCCTTCCTCAATAAATGGACTGTCAAACAAAAAAATATTTGTTTAATTCGAACCAGTCGTTCCGGAGATTGGCGCGTTCAAAAAAACAAACAAAATCTTTAGCTGTATGTTTGTTACTCTCTCTGACAAAAACGTCTAGACCGATTTGGTTGTAATTTTAATGTGCAGATAAGTAATTGCCCTGGATTCACACACATACTTTTAATCAACATACGACGAGAGCGGAAGCTATTCAATAGAATACTTAATCCAGAACACTCATAGCCCTAATTGCCCGTCTCAAGAACCGAATCAAACTCAGCACTAATGCTTAACAAATTTGATAAATAACAACATTTTGCATAACATAGCATGAAACCCCAGTTTCAAATGATCCTCAACACATTCCCCTCAACACATTCCCTAGACCGCATGAGTTGCTGTTTCCATTAGAATTATCTCTTAATGACATGATGCGAGGAAATGAAGGAAACAAGCCTTATGTCTCACTCACGCCCTCTATGGTATCGTTGTTCTAAATTTAACAAACTTACGATCGTATTTTTTTTTCATACTGTTGATACACTTTGTATAGGGTACAGAGATATTCCTAAGATCGGAAAAGGAGGATCCTCTGACCAGGCTTGATGATCAGCCTGGCTGGCTGGAATTTTGTATACTTGTTTAATTGTGCGAAAACTTTACTTGCGTGATGTAGAAACTGTGACGTCAGAAGTTAAATGTTGTTAGTCTTCAACATGTTACGCCATATTTGTATCGAAAACCGTCAATTATCGTGGGATGATAATGATGACGATGAAGAATTTAAAATATTCACTTAAATATTTTTCATATACGCACCAACATAGTGCAAATAAAAATTCAAAATAAAGCCCGCTTCTCTGGCATGGGGGCGTCGTTTCAAAACCCGGCAAATAAAAATTTAAGTGTTCCCGAGTTTTATGCATTTTCTTAGAAAGTTATTGAGATACCACCGACAAACGGTGTAGAATATAAATCGCGATTTAGCCTGGCCTTATAATTTCTTACTGTAGGGTTGAATCTAAAATATCGCCAATTGACCTGAATAAGCGTACCTAGTGATTAATCCTTCTTCGTCTGAGAAGACACCTTTGCTCAACAGCAGCACATTGGTTGGCACAAGTTGCTAGCGACAAGTAAGTCTTGTGCGCCTTCACCTTCGTACATTGTTGAGAAAAACCAAGTAGCCTTCTTCGATAAATTGACTATTGAACACGAAACTATATTTTCAATTCTAACCTGTACTTCCTGAATTCAGCTTGGAAAGAAATTAACTCTTCAGCTTTATAATATAAAATGGAGTTAAAAATTACCTTTAGCGATGTAAATAGCAGCACTGAATCCAACGGAGAAAATAACAAAAAATAAATTTTTGCCAAAAATGTTCGACATTTTTTCAATTTTTGTGAAAAATTCAAAAAAAAATCTGACACAAGCGTCTTTATTGGTGAACCAAAACAGTCTGGTTGTTACTGTTTAAATGGTTTCAGACCAGGGCTGCCACTCGACCTTAAAATTGATCAGTTTTTTGTTCAAACATAAAAATGTGTCATCCTTGAGTTTAGTGCAATGAAGCGTGTTTTCATTGAATTAATATCAACGCACATCAACGTATACTAATGATTACAATTCTACAATACAATTTCGACCTTATTATCAAAGTCTAAGGTTGAGATTCCATTATGTATTTGGTAAATTTTGGGTAGCTTGTAATGCGGCTGTCTGTATATTTGAGACCATTCTGGAATGACTGCACAATAGATGATGGATTCGTCACATCTATTCGTATGTTTGTGCAATAATGCATTGTTGTATCTATGGTTAATGGCTATTTTGTGATACTATTCATTTGTTTATTTCGCAACTGTATCACATTATCAGTCTACAAGTGTCCACTGCTGAGCCTCTTCTCACACGGAGAAGGTTTGAGCATTAATCAACCACAGCGTTGTGTTTCGCCGTGTGAGTGAGGTTACCGGAGACCCAATCCTTCCCCGCCCCCAATCCCTCCTCACTCCTTAAATCTCCAAATCCTTAATCCCTAAAAGGTCGGCAACGCACTCGTAACTCCTCCGTTGCGGATGTCTATGGGCGGCGTTGATTGCTTATCATCAGGTAATCCGTCAGCTCGATTGCCGATATATCACATAAAAAAAATACACCAGGTTTACTCAAGGCAGACTGGCGATTTTAAAATTATAATTAGAAATTATAAGTCCAGGGTTTCTCACGATGTTATCCTTCACCGTATGTCAGCGGTGTCTAATTAACTAAACATTATTCGGCAAAAGTCACATTAGTACTTTCCAGGTTTCGAACCTCTTGCACAGGAAGCGGGCGGATATTATGTCTAAAATACATATTACTAGCTACTCTCGCGCGGTTTTACCCGCTACTCGGCTCCATTTAATGGTAGCGTGATGTTTTATAGCCTATAGCACTCAGTAGCATTGTAGCTATCTATCAGTGAAAGAATTTTGGAAATCCGACCAGCTGTTCCTAAGATTACCCCCTACATACAAACTTAAAAAAATTACCTCTTTATTATATTAGTATAGATAACGATTCCACCATATTTCTAAAGAGTTCTGACCACTTTATTTCAGAAATATTATAATATAACCTATATGGAATGTTTGTCTGTCGATCCAATCAACGTAACGTGATCGGAGAGCAAACAACGCCGGGCCTCGATCAACAGCTTTATACTACGTAGATACATCATTGAAGTGGTGTGTTATATGACGGTATTGTAGCATAAAGCTTTTTAAATTGATCTTGGAAAATTTTATTGCCTTTTTTACAGTGCAGGACGGCCAAAGAGCAGTCGGGTTACCTGATGATTTTTTTATGTAATGTGTCGGCAAACGAGCAGACGGATTAACTGATGGTAAGTATTTAGCGCAGCCCATGGACACCCGCAACAAAGAGGTAACGAGTACGTTGAAGACTTTTTGGGGATTAGAGAATTTAGAGATTTAGGGATTGGGGGAGGGAAAGGATTGGGCCTCCGGTAACCTCACTCACACGGCGAAACCCAACGCTGTGACTGTTTCACGCCAGTATTCTGTAAGGCAGTGGTATCACTTCGGTCGAACCGACCCATTCGTGCAGAAGCATGGCGCTGGCTAGTCCTATACTTGGTATACTTCTGTTATGGGTATGGATATAATTTCTATACATGTGATTGTGTATTTGTAGAACTCAGATCGATTACTGACTTAAAACCAACCGGTCCTTTCTCTTGCTCTCACTCGGGCCGTCAAAACGCCACACGTCGCCATTACCACTTGTGCCCATAAACCGCCATGGAATCAGAAAAGTAGCTCACTCCCTAATCAAAACCAGAACTGAAGGCACGCGCCTCAAAGAGCCATCACACCACCACAGATGGTGCAAACTAAGGCCGTTGTCCGTGCAGGATGCCTGATACGCGCCGGACGCTCGGGCCTGGTTCTGATTAGGAAGTGAGCTACTTTGCTCCTACTGACGATGGCTGGAGATCATAACGTCTCTCTAGTCACTCCTCAAAAGTGGGGTTTACCGTTGCGAGAACAGAAAGCCCGGACTTCGATTGAGATACTGATACTCCGCCATAAGATGGTGTTGAAGTTCATCCTGCAACGCACTAATTCGAATCAAGATGAAGACTCGTATGGGCGCTTACTATAACTGATCCCATAGCGATTATCAATCAGGCAAGGAACTTGGTCCCCGGAGATCATGATGCGACCATCGCGCGAACTGGCCGCAGAGAAAATACAGATGTAAGGCAACATTTAAAACACATTTAAATATTATAATGATTCTATAATTTTAAAATAGCGAATTAATGACGTGGTGTCCTAGAGGTTTAGGCGCCAGCTTCTCATAAATGAGGGTGCGGGTTTGAAACCTGACAAGTACCTATGTGACTTTTGCCGAGTTATATGTACTTTTTATGATTATTTAGACACCACTGACTGAACTTAATCGTCTTAGCGTGGTGATTAATGCTCAAATCTTCTCCGTGTGAGAAAAAGCTTTCGCTCAGCAGTAAGCACTTATAAGCTGATGGTGTGATTATCCCATCCTCTCTTCTCCTCAAATGATGTCTTCTGATTTATTTCGTAGCAGGGATCCAATACAGTAGTAGTAGTAGTCCCTGAGACCTAGAGACTTCAGTGTTTCGGTGGATTTATATAGGGTATTTACTGTAGATCCTGGCTTCCAGGAGTTACAGCAGTTTTGGGAGGTTCTAGCAAACCTTGTACAGTCTGTGACTAAAATTGAAGTCTTGTGAGAGAGAGAGAAATAGAAAGAGATACTCCCTTTAGCCTAATTCAGCGTGGAAGAAGACAAACGATGATTTGACCACGTTCAAAATAAATGTGACACTCCCTCTTTACCATCAACCATGGCAAAAAAGGCAATTTGGTGTTTTTTCCACTTCAAAACAAAAGAGAGCCTTCTAAGCCTTTTTTTGTGAGGGGAAAATCATCAAATGACTTCTCCGGTCCAAGGTAAGGCGGGAGCGAGTGTCAGACTCTTGAATGACTAAAAACACCTCTGTTCCTTCTCCTGCTCTGGGCCGAGGCCGCGGTGACTCATTGCGTTCAACCCGCAACCCCGGCTGAACATCAGCCCTATAGGGCCCCGTCTGTAGTGGTCTATTGGGTCTTTGAAGCGAGCTTTCTAAGCCTAGAATTCTATTTGCACCAAAATACAATAAAATCAACGTTTTAAATAAAAAGCGGTACACAAATTTAAACCGATTGCTTTTACACATTTCCAAAAGCGAAAACATTATCACAAGTTTTAGAATTACTCACGAAATGCATGAACCTAATTGTTTCAGGGGTTCTGTCGCTACATAAATCAATTTCAACCCCGAATTATAGTTTCTCAACGGTAACTGAAATAGCAACGGAAAACCAACCTTTTCATAACTGCATAGATTGCATTTTGGACTAACATTTAAAACAAAGGAAGGACTGAAAATGAAATGTTCATTTTTCATTTAATTCAAAAGAGATGTCAAGCAAATACTGGGGATATTATATGTATTAATTAATTACGGTTATATTTTTGCTGAAGGGTTGACAGAGATGGTAGTACGGTAAGCTTTTAACATTTCCTATTCTATTCGTTTCAAGATAAAATGTGTACATCTAGGTGCTAACTAAAGGATGACGTTTACAATTATATCTACCTATATGTATGCAAAAGTGTGTTTTTCTTTCTTTCTAACAATCCACTCTACGCTGTAAAATTTGTCCCTGAGGATAATCTAAAGAAATCTGTTTCGGTATTTAGCTATAGGTAAACAATCCTGCTATATGTTTTTATCTAAAAGTTGTCTAAAAATTATGTTTACAATCAAGTATCTAAATCGATGTTTGGTAATCAACAAAATAATGTTTATATGCATTTTATACGACCTCTTTAATATACAAAGATTGTTAACCCTTAGTAAACCACCTTACTACTCCTTTTCGTTTGTCCATCCGAACCAAGTCGTACTTAGGCATAACTAGCTACTGGCAGAGGTATGACAGAATCAAAAACAAAAATTTGTTTAATTGACGTCAAAGTCAAAAGTCAATAACTTTAACTTTGAAATTGTATTTCACAAAAAAAAATACAAAATATACTACAGACAAATAAAGGCTGCAAATCACAGAAAAAAAAACAACTAAGTAAATCAAATACCAAAAATTTTTTTATAATATTTTTCGGAATATTTAATATCCATATTCTATATTCAAAATTCAAATCGCTCTCCCATCATTACAGCGTGAATCCTTCCAATCTACGTCAAAATCCGTCTAACGTTCAAACGTATGTAGAAGTCAGCATTTGACCTATTTGCCGACACGACACCAAGGATGCACGCCTGTCTTCCACTCTACTTATCCTCAATAAAGAACCTTAGACTACAACCTTACACATGCACACCACAACCACCCTATAACTTCAAATATAAAGATCATATTCCCCCGTACAAACTCAGCCGAATCTTGGCAAAACGGAATTTAATTTTCGATCCCCATTCGCTTTGAAGGGATCTCAATTTGATGCAGTTTTACGGATTTTCAATTTGGTTTCTTGTTTTTTAAGGTTTATAAGGTTGTTTTTTGATTGTATGATGAGTCTATTGAGTTGCTTCTATGATTGCATGGATAACTGAGCACGGAGGTTTGATTTCATTTTGATAAGCACTGTTTTAGATATACTTTTTTTATTGAAACGTATGGCACAGACATAAGTCATGTCGCCTTGATGTTATGAATTACTGCCACAGCAATTGCGTTTAGGTAAGTCAAAGTCAAAGTCAAAGTCAAAATTATTTATTTCAATTAGACCCATACAGGCACTTTTGAACGTCAACACAACTTTAAAGATACAAAGTGTCAGTCTGTCGGTCAGTCCTCTTAGTGAATATCAACTATTATATTATGAACTAGATTTCTATCAAAACACACATAAATGCTCACGGCAAATGAAGGCCTGTTTTCACACGAAGAATATTTGAACACCTTCACTCAGGGTGGATTGGCAAGTTCAAAATTGCAATAAATTATAAAGTCCAGTTCCCCTCGCTATGTTTTCCCGAATACCTAGCGGTAACGATCAAAACTTTTGACTGCACGGTTGGCGTGGTGGCTGGGCCATCGGCTGCCGTGCAACGTGTAGCGAGTAAGATTCCTACAGGGCTTCCTCTTTGTGTGATTCCAAAATCGCCATCAAAACGTCACCACTTTGAGTAAAATTTATTGACTTTGACTTTGACATACCGCAGCAATTGTTTAATTCCGTAAGAAAAGAAAAAAAAGGGTTTGAATTAAGCTACAGACGGACATAAAAAAACAATCAACATTTCTAAAGCCACACCAAATACCAATCGAGAACAACAATCTAATCTTAAAACGCATTTCAAAACATTATAAAAGAATTCACCTTTACTGCACCATTGGACATGGCTACTCTATCATCGAACTAATGCATAACCCGTGTAGCAATAATATAAATTATTGGAGTTCAGTTACATGTCAAAGAATATGGTGTTGCCCACCATAAACCCAGGACCGTTATGGTGTTAACCGTTTTGGAAGGTGTCACTTCTATGTCAGGTCTATGGTGTTAAGTTGGTGGTGTCATAAATGACGTTTACTAACGTCAATATTGTGATTATAGAGGTTTTTGTTTATGGTCAAGTGAAGCAACACTTATCTAGTGTTTCACCGTCTGAGTGAGGTTAAGCCGAATTCTTCCATTTCTTCGAATTCTCCCCCCCCCCCCCCCATTCTTAACCCTCAAATCCCCTATCGCTTAATCCCTAATGACCCACAAGAGGTCGGTAACGCACTTGGCGTCCTTTAGTACTACGAGTGTCTATGGGCGGCGATGATTGCTTACCATAGCTATTTAGGAGGCGTCAGATAGGCCAAAGCCAACTACGCAGGGGCCCTTTAGACAACTTTAATCTAAATGAAATGGGACACTAACCGGCGACTATCCTTGTATGCACTGAAGCACAGCCCCCAATTAGTGTAGGACTATTGCAGATAAAGGAAACAACAGAAGGTAAGGCTATGGGTGTGAGTTGCTGCAGACTGGTATGATGGGAACTATTGAATAACTATGGCAATTGCCGAAACAGAAATGTAATTTGTAAGAACTTTGTTAAGAATACAAGTAAATGATAGTCTGTCCCCACCAAATCTTGTAATAATCTTACTTCTTATCTTACTCATATGTATGATAATCAAAAATGTTTGGATGTTTGTATGTTTGTTACTCAATCACGCCAAAACGACTGGACGGATCTGGATGATATTTGGCACAGGCATAGGATACACTCAAGAATGGGACATAGGCTACTTTTTATCAACATACCACGCGGGCGAAGCCACGGGCGGTAACTAGTAACATAATATAAAACAAGTAGGTATGCAGACAAACAAATCCACTTTAATCCACCCCATCAGACATTAAACTGAATATAATACAATTCAGCGATGAAAACAGACTTTACATAAAGAAAACTTTACATAAAAGTTCACCCGCTCATATGCTTCAAATCTAAAACCTTACAAGATATATTTTCTCAACTGAAATATAAAACATGTAGGTACTCAATTTTGTTCCTTAGCGACACAGCGTCGTGGCGACGTAGATGCATGTCGCGCGTCCCGGCCACCGAGCGAACACGCGACAAAATATAATTCTTTTTCATACAAAACTAAGTTATCGCGCTCCTAAATCGCATTACTGTCTCAAAAATTGGTGTAAAATATAAGATTGAAGCGGTTTTTGTAATTTTTATTTATTAACCCCCAATACCTAAATCTCCGAAATCTTAATCGCCAAAAGGACGGCAACGTACTCGTAACTCCTCTGATGATGTGCGCGTCCATGGACGGCGCTGATTGCTTACCATCAGGAAAGTTTGACAGGATGGGTAAAAGCTGATAAACCTCATCATCATCATCAGCCTATAGTGTCCTCTACTAACCAAAGATTGACACTTGTCACACGGATATGGTTTGCGCATTAATCACCATGCTACATCAAGGCGGATTGTAGATTTCAACCTTATAATTAGAAATTATAAGTTCAGTACCCACAATGTTTTCTTTCTCTGTATATCAGTGTCGTCTGAATAAGCTTAGAAAGTAAGTAAAGTAATTTTATTTGTAATAGAACCGATGGAACGCCGGAGATTTAGGGATTAGGGAGGGAT